CGTTGAAAGGACCTTAGACAGCACGACACGACGGGCGACGGCACGACGCGACGCATGACGCGACGCGTCGTGTGTGTACAAACGAAATGGCAAGAAGGCGACAGTGCGACCTGACGACACGCCGTAAGGGAGCTGTCGTGCCGTCGCGTCGTGTAGTTGCATCGCCTGGAGGGAGGCTAAAGAGAGAGAGAAATATGTGTCGTAAATATTGCACCATAGGTGCAACAAACTTCCGTTCGAACATGCATGTACGAAATAGACCCAACTAGCCTCTGTTTTCTGCTGGTATTAGGGTACTTCTACAAATACCGGATGATAGGCAGAACCCCAATGTACAATATCAGTGTTAACTAATGTAACTACGATTGGAGCCCAATGTATTACTTCACACCACCCCTTGGAATAAGTTTTATATGACGCGAGTTGACCCTCGAGACCAATATTTGACATGCATAATCAGCGTCATGCCTACATGATCACCATCCTGTTTGGTTCCCCTGCAGGTTGGATAACCCGGGACTGGACAAGAGATCTCCCAGAAATTACTGGTGTGGCACCACCCTTAACAACAGGAAGAGCGCCCTCTGCAGCTGCAACCACCACTCACTCCTCAGCGGTATGTCGGAGAGTCTTAGGAGTCCTAAAAAGGGAAAAGTTAGCAATCACACCCGAAAATAGATGCTCGGCGTCAGTACTTGCTTCGCAACGGGAACCCAGTTAGAACGTATTACCCCACTCCCTCCCCATTTTCCCGCCCGGAATATGTTTCTAAAATGTTGGTCAGTTGGTTTCCTTTAAAATTTCAATGATACTTGGTACAAGATGAACAGAAATATCCCCCAAGGTCTAAGTGGTACTTATGAATCACCATACTTATCACCGATAAGTCATTTTATTAAATTGAATTCTGTAAAGGCTCACGCATTGTAAATGACATAAACTCGCCAAAAGTACATGGGGCCTAAGGGCCTGTCCCCGTTCTGTCTCTGGGTCGCTTGTCTGCACTCATTGACAGTCCCGTAGGGATATCATCTATTCCATTAGTTGCATTTGGCAAGGTACCACAAGCCATACCGGAAATTGCAGCAGCCTCGATAAATCGGTATTTCTGTGGAGCTGTGTTCGGAGAATACTTTGCCAAATTTGCGAGTGTTTTCTGGTCAGCTCAAAAACTTGAGATGGAAGAGCGAACGATGTATGTGGATGTATAATGCACAGACACTTGACGATTGCTGGCTTTTCCGGACCATGTGCCCTTTGGCTGAAAAAAATTCAATGAATTGTCTTGAGGGGGCAGAGACTGAACAATAGAAAGATATAGTTGTGTGTGGCGCGTTTAGTAAATACTGCCCTCTCGCGAACTTTGGAAGTATATAACGGTATTACTGTTGTTGTCGAGTGCAATATAGGTCCTTCTACAAGTCCCTTCATCATTCCTTTCACAAGGCCAGTCGTAACACATGGCGTGGGAAATGAGGCGTGCATGCACGCCAAACATTTTAATACAACGTGGAGGACCACTGCCGAGTGTCCATAGAGGGCGCACTAAAGACACAACACGGTGTAAACAATGGCTAACGAATGCTTCTGTGAAATGATAAAGACTAAATTGTCTGTGACGGACTAAATTATAGCTCAATTCTGCTATCAATTCCACTGCAGACTGAATCTTCAACTGTAGGTAGGCCTGGCTGGCATTTTGCATTAAAGTTTGCTTTTATTGATCTTTTTTTCCTTTCAGATGAGCTCATTGAGTCTAAGGAGGCCAACAGCTTCCTGAAGCGAGGCATCGAGAAGAGGAGCCTGACTGAGGAGTGTTGTCACGAAGGATGCTACTACGAAGAGGTGTACGAGCTCTGCTAAAGCGGGTCTAGCGAACCGCACCTGCAGCCCCGTCGGCCTCTACAGACTAAACTAAAGAAATAAGATTTATATAGTTCGAGTTATATGGAATTGATGACGATGGTCCCCTCTTGTATGCGTTTGGACAGCACTTATTTGTGCACATAATCCCAAGTTAACTATAAGCAATTGTAATAATTGAAACCCAGCTTGGTAGGCAAAATGGTCTGGAACCTACCTTGGGACCGGAGATCAAACCTTTGAATAGAAAGGCCCTTATAATTTTAAATTCTCAGACGCTTCCCCCCAATTTGTCTCTAAATGTGGCCGAAAGTGCCTTGAATTTTGAAAAGAAACTGCAGCGTGATAAAGTGTTTACATAAACTGGATTCTTAAAGCATCTTCGTGAAGTGAAACTTACTGAAAAATTACAATAAGTTGTCACATACATCCTCACTGACACATTGCTTGTTCTTTTTCTGTGCATAAACACTGTCGCCATGTTGCAGAATTTGTGAAAATGGGAAAGCCATTCAGCTGTACACCATACAGTCCTGAACCTATACAGAAAATGTGGACACAAAATTTGTTTATATATGTAAAATTCTTTTCACAGATAAACCACGTAATTATACGCGCTCTGTGCATGCTCTTTAACAAGTACTATAGTTCTTTTGCGAGGATAAGTGATAAAGAGTGGGCACTATATGCCTTAGGTTCGATGTGCCTGACAATGACATTTCGGAAATTGATACACAGAATAAACTCAGGGATTGGATCCAGCTTATTCGTCGACACTAAGCGGATTAAAGAGAAAAACAGGGATCAGATGCTGTCATGGTGATATTAATTTGTTTAATTGGTCGTGTCCCTGTGACTTCTTCTGTTTGTTTTGGTACAGTATTATCTACCAACTGCTCGTAACTTTGGTTTGCCGTAATGAAATCTTCGTCTGGCTCAAGGGCCAATCAAAAGGACCATTTTCCATTTTCGGGGGCATACTCCCTTTTGGGGGGTTGTGAAGTTTTTTCAAGTAACCTTTTAGAGCCTTTCTTGGGGCGATGTTAAATTTAGGAGGGTTTATCGCACACTTTTGGAAGAAAGGAAAATAAACTGGATCAAAAATTAGCCTTTCTTTCATAATATTCCCGCTAAAAAAATCTTTGCAGATTCTTGCTTGACCCCGTTGGCCCCCTTGGTCCGGTTGAGGTTAAGTTACTTAATATAGCCACAAAGGGTGGATCCCCTCCCCTAAAAAGATGGAGAGACTTGTTTTAATTAAAACTTGATGAATGGATACAAAGCAAGGGGGATATTTCATTTCAATTCCTCCCAAAGTGTATTCAAAGTCCCTCAAATTTCTCACCCCTCAGAAAGACCATTCCCCCTCCACTTTTTTCCCTTCCCTGATAAAAAATTGGTCCCCCGAATTATTGGGTCTGGCTCCACCTTTGTACAAAAATCACGTATAAGATAATGGTTGGTTTGATGCACAAGATGTATTCTGTAATACGATATTCGATTTTTTCATTATTTTCACTCTGTACCCTCTACAGGCATTTTAATCCATTTGCCGCATCTCGATTTTACTTCTCAATTTTACTCTCAATACAATCGTCTAGCACGTTGCGTTGCGTTGTGTCGCTCTGCACGCCCCCCCCAAACTAGCTTTGCTTCAGTGGTAGGCACGGTGAACCAATTAGAGTGCCCTTCCACAGATTTTCACCCTGAGAATTTGAAGTTTGCTTCGTCGTGACTAGTATTCTGGAATCGGTCAAGCTTTCTAATTTTTGTAATTTTTTTTATTTCCACATTTTTGGCCTTAAATGAGAATATCGCCCCCAGTTGGTGAAATTAGCTAGTTTGATCTTTTTTTCTTTCTTTTTTCAACAACAACGGATGTTTATTTAACACACGAGTGACTAAAAAATCCCACTATATCGCCTGGGCCGATGAATATTTTGAGTAATACGTCCAGGCAGATTACTCTTACGCCCCAGAAGGATTACTGTCGAAATGGTGAACCACCTATAATCCACTCGGGCCAAACAATCCGCCCAGGCAAAAAGTGGCCCCATTTATTTATTTATTTATTTATTTATTTTTTA